TGGGTACCCTAACCATAAGCCAACCCTGTACCTCTACCCTAACCCTTCCCCGTAACCTAACCCTAACACATACTCTAACCCTAACACATACCCTAAAACATACCCTAGCCCTAACACGAAACCATACCCTAACCTGTACCCTAAACTCTACCCGAAACCTAACCCTAACCCTAACCCTAAACCTACCCCATACCCGTACTGTTCCCCGTACCCTAACCCTAACCCAATGCTAACCCTAACACGTACCCTAAACCATACCCTAACCTGTACCCTAACCCATACCCGAATCCTAACACTAACCCTAACCTTAACCCTAACCAGTACCCTAATCCTAAACCGTATCCTAACACTAACCTGTACTTTAACCCATACACTAACCCTAACTAAACATACATTAAATGGTACCCTAACCCTAACTCGTACCCTAACCCTAACCCATACCCTAAATCTAACACGTTCTCCAACCTTAAACCGTACCCTAACCTGTACCCTAACCATCACACGTAGCTATACCCTATCCTGTACCCTAACACTAACCAGTACCATAACCCTAACCCAAACTCTAAGCCGTACCGTAACCCTTCCCCGTAACCTAATCCTAACACATAGCCTAACCCTAACATGCACCCTAAAACATATCTTAACCCTAACACGGAACGATACCCTAACCTATACCCTATTCCCTGCCTGAAGTCTAACCCTAACCCTAAACCATACCCTAACCCGTATCCTAATCCTAAACCATATCCTAACACTAACTTGTACACTAACAGCTACCCTAATGCTAATTCTTAGCTGTACACTAAACTGCACCCTAAACTTAACCCGTACATTAAACCTAACCCATCCCCTAACACTACCCTATTCCCTATCCCTAACCCATACCCTAAACAGAACACGTACTCCAACCCTAACCCATAACCTAACATGTACCCTAACCCTAACACCTAGCTGTACCCTATTCTGTACACTAACCCTAACCCGTACCCTAACCCTAGCCCGCACACTAGCCCTAACCCGTAACCTAACCCTAACCCGTACCCTACCCTGTATTCTAACAGTAACACGTAGCTATACCCTAACCTGTATCCTAACCCTAACAGATACCGTAACCCTAACTCTAACCTGTACCCATACCCATACTCTAATTCTAACCCGTATCCTGACACTAACCCACACCCTAACACGTACCCAAACCCTAATTTGTATCCGTACACTGAACTATAACCTAACCCTAACCTGTACCGTAATCCAAACCCGTATCTTAACACTAACCCATAACCTAACCCTAACTAGTATCCGTACGCTAAAATGTACCCTAACCCTAAACCGTACCATAACCCTAAACCTAACCCTAACCCATACCCTAACCCTACCACGTACGCAAACCTTAAAAGGTATCCTAACCCTATCCCTAACACTAACCCATACCCTAAACCTAACCCATAGCTGTACCCTAACCTGTACCCTAACCCATATCCAAACCCTAACCCTAACCCTTACATGAACCAGTACCCTAATTCTAAACCATATCCTAACACTAACCCGTATCCTAAACCATACACTAACACTAACCTGCAGCCGTACACTAAACTGTACACTAACCCTAACGCGTAACCTAACCTGAACCTTAACCCATACCCTAACCCTAACCCTTACACTAACACTAACCCGTTGCCATACCCTAACCTGTACCCTAAACTATACCCGTTCCCTAACCCAAGCCCTAACCCTAACCCTAACCCTAAACTTTACCCTAAGCCTTACCCTAACCCATACCCTAATCCTAACCCACACACTAACACTAACCCGCACCCTAACCTGTACCCTAAACCATACCCGTTCCCTAACCCTAACCCTAACTCTTATGCTAACCCTTACCCTAACCCATATCCTAATCCTAACACATACACGAACACTAACCCATACCCTAACACATACCCTAACCCTAACCCATTATTGTACCCTAACATGTACCCTAAACTGTACCCGTTCTTTAACCCTAACCCTAACCCAAACCTAACCCTAACCCTAACCCGTACACTAACACCAACCCATACCTTAACACGTACCCTAACCCTAACCCATTGTCACACCCTAGCCTGTACCCTAAAATGTACCCATTCCCTAACTCTAACCCTAACCCTGTCCCATACCCTAATCCTAACTCGTATCCTAAGACTAACCTCTACCCTATTCCATAACCTAACCCTAACTTGCAGCTGTACAGTAAACTGTACCCTAACCTTAACATGTACCCTAACACTAACCCTAACACGTACCCTAAACCTAACCCGTACCCTAACCCTAATCTAAACACTAACCCTAATCCATACCCGAACCTGTACCATAAATGTAACATGTAGCTGTACCCTATCCTGTACCCTAACCCTAACTGGTACCCTAACCCATACCCGTACCCGTACCTCTAACGGTACCCTACCTGGTAAACTAACCCTAACCCAAACGCTAATGCTAACACGTATCCTAACCCATACCCTAACCCTAATACTTAGCCATACCCTAACCTGTACCCTATCTCATACCCAAAGCATAACCCTACCCTAACCCTAACCCTAACCTGTACCCTAATCCTAAGCCGTATCGTAACACTAACCCATACTCTAACCCATACACTAACTCTAACCCATAGTTGTACACTAAACGATACACTAACCCTAACTCATACCCTAACCCTAACCTGTACTCCAACTTTAACCCATACTGTAAACTGTACCCTAACCTTAACATGTAGCTGTACCCTATCCTGTACCCTAACCCTAAGTGGTACCATAACCCTAACCCTAACCGGTAACCTAACCCTGCCCTGTACCATAATCCTAACCCATATACTAACCCTAACATGTACACTAAAACATATCCTAACCCTAACACGTAACCATACACTAACCTGTACCCTAACCCATACTCGAAGCCTAAACTTAACCCTAAGGCGTACCCTAACCCATACCCTAATCCTAACCCATATCCTAACACTATCCCGTACACTAAGCCGTACCCTAATCCTAACTCATAGCCGTACACTAAACTGTACATTAAGCCTAAACCGTACCCTAACCCTAATCCTCACCCTAACCCGTACCCTAACCCTATCCCATACCCTAACCCTAGCCCGTGCTGTAACCCTAACCCTAACACTAACCTGTACCCTAACCCTAACTCGTAACCTAATGCTAACCTTAACCCTAACCCGTACCCGTACCCTAACCTGTTCACTAACAGGAACACTTAGCTCTACCTTATCCTGTACCCTAACCCTAACCAGTACACTAACCCTAATCCTAACCTTAACCCGTACCCTAACCCTTCCCTGTACCCTAACCCTAACATTTACTCTAACTCTAACACATACTGTAAAACATACCCTAACCCTAAAACATAACTGTATCCTAACCTCTACCCGAACCCTAACCCTAAACCTAACCCTAACATATACCCTTATCTGAATCTGTACCCTCACACTAACCTGTACCCTGACCCGTAACATAACCCTAACTCATAGCCGTACAGTAAACTGTACCCTAACCCTAACCCGTACCCTAACACTAATACAAACCCTAACCCTAAGCTGTACTCTAACCTGTACCCTAACACTAACACGTAACTGTTCCCTATACTGTACCCTAACCCTAACCAGTTCCTTAACCCGAATGCTAACCCTGACATGTACCCTAACCCATACCCTAACCCTAATCCTTAGTTGTAACCTAACCTGTACCCTAACCTATACCCGAAGACTAACCCTAAACCTAACCCTAATCAGTACCCTAATCCTAAGCTGTATCCTAACACTAACCCGTACTCAAACCCGTACGTTAACGCTAACCCATAGTCGTACACTAAACTGTACCCTCACCCTAACCCGTACCCTAACCCTAACCCTACTCATACCCTGACCCTAACCTGTACTCCCACCTTAACCTGTGCCCATACCTGTAACCTAACCATAACACGTAGCTGTATCCTATCCTGTACCTTAACCCTAACCAGTAACATAACGTTAACCCTAACCCTAACCTGTGCCCTAACTCTAACCCTAACACTAACCCATAACCTGACCCTAGCCTGTACCCTAATCCTAACACGTACCCTAAGCCAAACACGTACCCTAAAACATACCCTAACACGTAACCATACCCTAACCTGTACCCTACCCCTACCCAAAGCCTAACTCTAACCCTAAACCTAATCCTAAACCTAACCCTAACCCGTAGCCTAATCCTAACACGTAACCTAACACTAACCCATACCCTAACCCTAAATCGTAGCCATACATTAAACTGAACCCTAACACTAACCCATACCCTAAACCTAACCCATACCCTAACCCGTACCCTAACCCTACGCCGTATGCTAACCCTAAACCATACCCTAAACCTAACCCATACTCCCACCCGAACCTGTACCCTAACCTGTACCCTAACCCTAACACATAGCTGTACCCTATCCTGTACACTAAACCTAACTCTAACCCATACCATAACCCTACCCCGTACACTAAACCTAACCCGTACCCTAACCCTAACCCATACCCTAATCCTAACCCGTACCCTAACCTGTACCCTAACCCTAACACCTAGCTATACCCAATACTGTATCCTAACCCTAACCGGTACCCTAACCTTAACCCATACCCGTGCCCATACCCTAATCATAACCCATATCCTAACACTAACCCGTACCCAAACACGTACCCTAACCCTAACTAGTATCCGTACGCTAAAGTGCACCCTAACCCTAAACCATACCCTAATCCTAAACCTAACCCATACCCTAACACTAACCCGTGCCGTAACCCTAACCCATACCCTAAACCTAACCTGTAGCCATACCCTAACCTGTATCCTAACCCATACCCAAACCCTAACCCTATCCCTTACTAACTAGTACTTAATCTAAGCCGTATCCTAACACTAAACCATACCCTAACCCATACACTACCCTAACGCATAGCCATACACTGATCTGTAACCTAACCATAACGTGTACCCTAAACCTAAAGCATACCCTAACCCTAACCCTAACCCCTTAAACTAACCCTAACACGTACCCTAATCCTAATCCATACCACAACCCTAACCCATACCCTAACCTGTACCCTAACTGTTACACATAGCTCTACCCTATCTTGTACCAAAACCCTAACCGGTACCCTAACCCTAGCCCGTACCCTAACCTGTACCCTCACCGTTCCCCATACCCTAATCCTAACATATACTCTAACCCTAATCCTAACCCTAAAACATACCCTAACCCTAACACGTTACCGTACCCTAAACTGTACCCTAATCTCTATCCGAACCCTAACCCTAACCCATACCCGTACCTGTACATGTACCCTAATCCTAACCCGTATACTAACACTAACCCGTACCCTAACCCTAACCCTAACACTAACCCTAACCCATACGTGAACCCTAACCCATAGCCGTACCCTAACCTGTACCCTAACCCATACCCAAACCCTAACCCTAACCCTAACCCTTACCCTAACCAGTAAACTAATCCTAAGCCATATCCTAACACTAACCCATACCCTAACACGTACACTAACCCTAACCCGTAGCCATACACTAAACTCTACCCTAACCCTACCCATGCCCAAACCCTAAACCTAACCCTAACCTATACCCTAACTTTGCACCTTAACCTAATGCTAACCCATACCGTAAACATAACCCATACCCAAACCCTAACCCATCCCCTAACCTGTACCCTAACAGTAACACATACCTCTACACTATCCTGTACCCTAACCCTCAGCAGTACCATAAACCTAACCCTAACCCTAAACCTAACCCTAACCCTAACCTTAACCTGTACCCTAACCTGTACCCTAACCATAACACATAGCTGTATCCTATCCTGTACCCTAACTCTAATTAGTGCCATAACCCTAAACCTATCACTAACTCGTAAACTAACCCTACCAGGTACCCTAATCCTAACGCATACCTTAACCCTAACACGTACCATAAAACATACCCTAACCCTAACAGGTAACCATTCTGTAAACTGTATCCTAAACCGTAGCCTACCCTAACCTGTACCCTAATCCTAACATGTATCCTAACACTAACCAGTACCCTAATCTGTACCCTAACCCTAACTTGTAGCCATACACTAAACTGTACCCTAACCCTAAATCGTACCCTAACCCACACCCGTACCCTAACCCGTACCCTAACCCGAACCCGTACCCTAACCCGTACCCTAACCCGAACCCGTACCCTATCCCTAACCCATACCCTAAACCTAACCCATACTCCAACCCTAACCCATACGCTAACCTGTACCCTAACACGTAGGTGTACCCTATCCTGTACACTAAACCTAAACCTACTCCATACCCTAAACCTACTCTGTACCCTAACCCGTACCCTAACCCTAAACAGTACCCTAACCTGTACCCTAACCCTAAGCAGTAGCTATAACCTATCCTGTATCCTAACACTAACCCTAACCCTAACCCTAACCCGTACACTAACCCGTACCCTAACCTTCCCCGTACCCTAACCATAACTCATACTCTAACTCCAACATGTACCCTAAAACATACCCTAACCCTAATACATAACCGTACCCTAACCTGTACCCTAACCTCTACCTGAACCCTAACCCTAACTCTAAGCCTAACACGTACCCTTATCCTAACCCGTATTCTGACACTAACCTGTACCCTAACACATAACATAATGCTAACTCATACCCGTAGACTAAACTGTACCCCTAACCCTAACCCGTACCCTAACACTAATCCAAACCCTAACCCTAACCTGTACTCTAACCTGTACCCGAACAATAACACGTAGCTGTACCCTAAACCTAACCGGTACCCTTAGCCTAACCCGAACGCTAACCTTAACAAGTACCCTAACCCATACCCTAACCCTAATCCTTAGTCGTATCCTAACCTATACCCTAACCCATACTTGAAACCTAACCCTAACCCTAACCTTAATCAGTATCCTAATCCTAAACCGTATCCTAACACTAACCCGTACTCAAACCCGGACACTAGCCCTAACCCGTAGTAGTACATTAAACTGTAACCTAACCCGTACCCTAACCCTAACCCTACCTGTTCCCTAACCCTAACTCGTACTCCATCATTAAACCGTACCCTAACCTGTAACCTAACCATAACACGTAGCTGTACCCTATCCTGTACCTTTACCCTATCCAGTACCGTAACGCTAACCCTATACCGTACCCTAACCCTAACCCTAACACTAACCCGTAACCTGACCCTACCCCATACACTAATCCTAGCACGTACCCTAACCCTAACACGTACCCTAACCCTAACACGTACCCTAAAACATACCCTAGTCTTAACATGTAACCATACCCTAACCTGTACCCTAACCCCTAATGCTAACCGTAACACATACCCTAAAACATACCCTTATCCTAGCACGTAACTATACCCTAATCTGTACCCTAATCCCTACCCAAAGCCTAACCCTAACTCTAAACCTAACCCTAACCCATACCCTAATCCTAACACGTAACCTAACACTAACCCATACCCTAACCCGTACCCTAACCCTAACTCATAGCCGTACATAAACTGTACCCTAACACTAATCCGTACCCTAACCCTAAACCGTATCCTAACCTGTACCCTAACCCTAACCCTAACCAGTACCCTAACCTGTAGCCTAACACTAACACATAGGTGTACCCTATCCTGTACACTAAACCTAACCCTAACCCATACCCTAACTCTACCCCGTAAGCTAAAGCAAACCCCTACCCTAACCCTAACCCATACCCTAACCCGTACCATAACACTACACGTACCCTAAATCTAACAGGTACACTAACCCTAACATGTAACCATAACCTAATCTGTACCCTAAGCCCTACCCGAAGCCTAACCCTAACCCTAACCCTACCAGTAACCCATGCCCTAATCCTAACCCATATCCTAACAGTAACCCATACCCTAACCCTACCCCATATCCTAACCCTTACCCGTATCCTAACCCATACCTGAACCCTAACCCATAGCCGTACCCTAACCTGTACCCTATCCTGTGCCCAAACCCTAACCCTAACCCTAACCCTTAACCCATACCCTAACCTGTACCCTAGCCATAACACATAGCTGTACCCTATGCTCTACCCAAACCCTAACCAATACCGTAACCCTAACCCTAACCCATACCCTCACCCTACCAGGTACCATAAACCTAACATGTACCCTATTCCTAGCATGTATCCTAAAACATACCCTAACCCTAACAGGTAACCATTCCCTAACCTGTACCCTAACCCCTACCTGAAGCCTAACCCTCACCTGTACCCTAACCCTAACCTGTACCCTAATCCTATCACGTTTCCTAACACTAACCAGTACCCTAACCCATACTTTAACCCTAACACGTAGCCGTACACTAACCTGCACCCTAACCCATACCCAAACCCTAACCCTAACCCTTACCCTAACAGTAACCAATACCCTAACCCTGCCCCATACCCTATCCCTAACCCATACTCCAACCCTAAAGCTTACCCTCACCTGTACCCTAACCCTAACACGTAGATGGACCCTATCCTGTACACTAAACCTAACACTACCCTGTACCCTAACCCTACTCTGTATCCTAACCCTAACCCATACCTTAACCCTAACCCGTACCATAAGCCTAACCCTAACCCTAACCCGTACCCTAATCCTAACCCGTATCTTAACACTAACCCATACCCTAACACGTACCCTAACCCTAATTCGTATCCGTAAACTGAACTCTACCCTAGCCCTAACCCATACCCTAATCCTAACCCGTGTCCTAACACTGACCCATACCCTAACCCATACCCTAAACCTAACTAGTATCCATATGCTAAAATGTACCCTAACCCTAAACCATAACCTAACCCAAAACCTAACCCTAAACAATGCCCTAACCGTACACCATACCCTAAACCTAAACCATATAATAAACCTATACCTAACCCTAACCCATACCCTAACCCTAAACCGAAGCTGTACCCTAGCCTGTACCTTAACCCATACCCAAACCCTAACCCTAACCCTTACCATAACCAGTACTCTAAACATAAGCCATATCCTAACACTAACCCATAACCTAAACTGTACACTAATCCTAACCCGTAGCCATACACTAAACTGTACCCTAACCCTAATGCATACCCTAACCCTAACCCTAACCCATACCCTACCCTGTAATCTAACCCTAACCCGTACAGTTATCCTAATCCGTACACTAACCCTAAACTGTACCCTAACTTGTACCCTAAATGTAACATGTAGCTCTACCCTATCCAGTACCCTAACCCTAACCTGTACCATAACCCTAAGCCTAACCTTAACCCTTACCCAAACCCTTCCTCATACCCTAACCATAACACGTACTCTAACTCTAAAATGTAACCTAAAACATGCCCTAACCCTAACATGTATCTGTACCCTAATCTGTACCCTAACCTCTACTCGAACCCTAACCCTAACCCTATCCCGTAACCTGATCCTAACCTGTATCCTAACACTAACCCATACCCTAACCCTAACTATAACCATAACATGCACCCTAAACCTAACCTGTACCCTAACCCTAATTCAAACCCTAAACCTAACCCATACCTGAACCTGTACCCTAAACTCAACACATAGCTATACCCTATCCTGTAAATGAACACTAACTGGTACACTAACCCTAACCCTAACCCATGCCAGTACCCTACCCCTACCCAGTACACTAACCCTAACCCGAACGCTAACCCTAACAGATACTCTAACCCATACCCTAACCCTAATCCTTAGCTGTACCTCAACCTGTACCCTAACCCATACCAGAAGCCTAACCTTACCCTAACCCTAACCCTAACCTGTACCCTAATCCTAAGCCGAATCCTAACACTTACCCATACTCTAACCCGTACACTCACCCTAAACCATAGTCATACACTAAACGGTACCCTAAACCTAACGCTTACCCTAATCCTAACCCTAAAACATACCCTAAC